GGTGGGGCCTTTGTGTGGTCTCCCCCCCCCCCCCCCCGCCCCTCCCCGCCACCCCCCCCCCCCACCGTCTTCCATGGCACTGGCCCTTCTGTCCCTCCCGGTTCAGTGTCGGCTGATGCAGTTACAACAGACCCACCCCTTGACTCCGGCTGGAAACTATTCCAGTGGACTCACTCCCTCCCCATTGGGTAGTATTCCAATGGATCCACCCCTTCCCCTTGGATAAAGTTCACTGGACTTGATCTTTTCCTATTGGACAGAATTCCATTGGATCCACCTACCCTTAGATAGGATCCCCATTGCCATTGCAAAGTATTCTAGTGGATCCCTTTTCTCTTGGGTGGCATTCAGTGGATCCATTCCTTTTCCATTGGATAGCATTTTGATGGATCCTCCATCTCTGGGGTGGCATTCCAGTAGATCAATACTTTTCCCTTTGGATACAATTCCAGTGGATTTCCCTTACTGTAGGAAGTGGATCCACCCCCTTCCTATTAGACAGAATTCCAGTGGAATCCCCCATCCCTTGCATGGCATTCCAGTCGATCCATTCCTTTTCCATTGGATAGAATTTTGGTGGATCCTCCATCCCAGGGATGAAATTCCAGTGGATCCATCCTTTTCCAATTTGACGGAATTCCAGTGGATCCATCCCTTTCCTATTTGACGGAATTCCAGTGGATCTATCCCTTCTCTATTGGATAGTTTTGTGTGTGTGTGTGCGCGTGTGTGTGTGTCCTCCATCTCCTGGATGGCATTTGAGTAGACCCAAACCTTTCCTATTCAGAATTCATGTGGATATACCCCCTTCCCAGTGGACCCATCCCTTTCTCAATGGATATAATTCCAGTGAACCCATTCCCTTTCTGTTGGATGGAATTCCAATGGATCCACCTCTTTCCCATTGGAACCAATCCATTCTGAACCACTTGGCCCTTTTTGAGCGCAATTCCATTTGATGCCCCAGTTTAGACTTCTTCCCGTTCGATGGATTCACCGGGGAGCCATTCCTTTGCATTCACTCCCATGAGTTTGAGTTTGAGTTTGATGGGCCTCCCGTTTGTTGTGTTTTGTCCGAGTGGCTGTTGCTCAGTGACCGACAGTTGCTTTCTCTCTGCCTTCCTGCAGCGGAAGAGGCATTACTGGAGGCTGGACTGCAAGTGTATCACGTTGTTCCACAATGACACTGGGAACAAGTATTACAAGGTAAGGGTTTTGTGTGTGAATGGTGGAAAGGACTATCACAAGGGGAGCATAATCTTAAGGTGATTGGAGGAAGGTATAAGGGAGATGTCAGAGGTAGGCTCTTCACACAGAGCGTGGTGGGTGTGTGGAATGCGCTGCCAGCAGTGGTAGTGGAGTCAGATAAATTAGGGACATTTAAGCGACTCTTGGATAGGCACATGGATGATAGTAAAATGTAGGGTATGCAGCGTAGCTTGACCTGAGAGTAGGATAATAAGTCGGCACAGCATCGTGGGCCAAAGGGTGTGTACTGTTCTATGTTCTATGTTCTATGTTCAGTCTGTTTCAGACTGCTCCTGTAGAGATGCAGCATCCTGACGCCATTGAAACTTGGAGCGTGTTTGAGCGAGATTTAGAGGAGGCATATAAGGTGGATGAGTGTTTTGTTTGAGCAGTAACTGGAAAGACGAGAATGTGCCACTCCGAGTGAACGCAGCTAGCCTGCCCCTCTATTTCAGCCCCTCCACCTTCTCACTCCCTCCATCAATGGCACAGTGGCTCAGTGGTTAGCACCACTGCCTCACAGCATCAGGGACCCAGGTTCAATTCCACCCTCGGGCAACTGTCTGTGTGGAGTTTGCACATTCTCCCCGTGTCTACGTGGGTTTCCTCCGGGATGTCCAAAGATGTGCAAGTTAGGGTGGATTGGCCATGCTAAATTACCCATAGTGTGTAGATTACGTGGGTTATAGGGAGACAGGTCTGGTTGGGATTCTCTGAGGGTTGGTGTGGTCTTGTTGGGCCAAAGGGCCTGTTTCCACACGGTAGGGATTACATGATTCTATCCAGAGGGCTCCCTCCCCTCTGACTGAAATGTCAGTCATGTGGATATCTTAGAGAGAACCCAGGACTGCTTCCCTCAGAGAGGGGAGGACTGGACTCGGGATGTCGAGGGTGTCGGGGACAGCGTAGAAAAGGAGAAACTGTTCCTGTGTTGGTGCAGGGATCGAGGAGCAGATTGGGAAATGGAGCAACGGTGACATGAGGCAGAAAGCTTAGTTTGAGCATTGAGGGCTTGGGATCTGGAGTGCGCTGTCTGACAGTGTGACAGAGGTAGCTTTGAATCGGGGTTTTCATTGGATGAAAAAGAAGAATGAGAAGTGGCACTAGCTGAACATAAGAAATAGGAGCAGAAATAGGCCTCAACAAAAGATCAGCTCCACTTACCCGCCTGCTCACCATAACCCTTAATTCCTTTACTGTTCAAAAATCTATCTATCTTTGCCTTAAAAACATTCAATGAGGAAGCCTCAACTGCTTCCCTGGGCACAGAATTCCACAGATTCACAACCCTTTGGGTGAAGAAGTTCCTCCTCAGCTTAGTCCTAAATCTGCTCCCCCCTTATTTTGAGGCTATGCCCCCCCGTTCTAGTTTCACCCGCCAGTGGAAACAACCTCCCTGCTCCTATCTTATATATTCCCTTCATAGGGTAGAAGTGCTCCTTGCTCCTAGAATTGCTCCCAAGTTCATTTGGAAAGCCAGCATAGACAAATTGGGCTGAACGGCCTCTCTGTAATAATTCTGCGAGTCCTCGCAGGGGTATAGGGCCGCGGTGCATGCACCTAGGAGCTCAGAGACTAACTACTCCAGCATTGCTGTGTCAGGGAAGGCATTCGCCAACGATGGATTGGAGATACAGATCTATCATGATCTCGTTGGCAGAACAGGCTGGAGGGGCTGCGTTCCTGTTGCAAGTCAGTTCTGCTCCAATCCATGGACATGCTATCTAATCGAGGGCGTGGGCTAGGAACTTGGTGGAGAACAGAACTGAGCTTGTTAACCGATCTCCTGGTGCCTGATTGGCTGGATCTCCTGCGCTGCGGGCCATTTTGATGAGTGACCAGTCGCTGGTGTAACTTGGAGGTTTTGTTTCATCTGTAGGGGGTGTGAAATGGTTCCTGTTCAGCTCCAGATGCCCCTAGGTGGACCGAAGCTGGATGTTCTGCAGCCCAGCTCCCCAAAACCTGTCCCACCATCAACAAGGCGCAAGCCAGGAGTGTGATGGAACACTCCCCACTTGCCTGGATGGGGGCAGCTCCAACGACACTCAGGAAGCTCACATCATCCAAGACAAAGCAACACAATTGATTGGCACCACATCCACACAAACATCCGCTCCCTCCACCACCGACACTCAGTCACAGCAGTGTGTACCATCCACAAGATGCCCTGCAGCAACTCACCAAGGCTGCTTTTTCCAAACCCATGACCACTTCCATCCAGAAGGACAAGGGGCAGCAGATACATGGGAACACCACGCTCTTGCAAGTTCCCCTCTGAGGCCCTCACCATCCTGACTTGGAAATGTATTGCTGTTCCTTCAGTGTTGCTGGGCCAAAATCCTGGAACTCCCTCCTTAAGGGCATTGTGGGTCAACCGATAGTAGGTGGATTACAGCGGTTCAAGAAGGCAGCTCATCCCTTACCTTCTCAAGGGGCAATTAGGGACAGGCAATAAATGCTGACCCAGCCAGCGATGTCCACATCCAATGAACCCATTGAAGAAATATTGGGGATGGGCAGCTAATGCTAACCTGGTCAATGAGACCCACGTCCCATTACAGAGAAAGAAGTCAGTTTGCCCATTGGCTTTGGTGTGGACTGTAGCAACACACTGAGGCTCCTTTTGGGAGCATGTTCCAAACCCCAAAGGACATGGGCACCAGGCACAAGAGACTAACACCATCACAAATTCCTCACCCAGGTCATGCACCATCCATCCTAAATCTGCACCATCTTCCCTTGTCCCTGGGACAAAATCCAGCGTTCAACAAGTTTGTTCACTCTACACATGATTCCAGAAGCTGGCTTAGCCCCAAATTGTCAAAGGAATTTGGGGATAGTGATACAGAGGTGAATGACAGTATTTAGTAGGGGGAAGGAAGTCTGTCACATTAATGCAGGGTGGGGCTGAGCCATTTGTGGGGAAACAGGAGAGGGAGCTTTACTCTGTATCTATGCTGGGCTGTGCATGTTCCTGGGATGTTTGATGGGGACAGGGTGAAGGGAGCCCAACTATCAGTTTGAGAGTCGAGGGAACTTTACATTGGTTTCGGAGAGCGGAGGGAGCCTTCCTCTGGGTCGGTTTCGGAGAGTGGAGGGAGCCTTCCTCTGGGTCGGTTTCGGAGAGTGGAGGTTAGAATTGAGACTTCTGTAATCTGTTTTTTCCACCTTTTTCCCCCGCTCCCAAACCCCGTCCCCTCTGTCCGTCCAGGAAATTCCACTTTCCGAGATCCTGGGTGTAGAGCCTGCACAGAATTCCGGAACCATCCCTCACAGCGGCAGCCCTTACTGTTTCGAAATCCGAACGAGCAATGTGGTGTACTTTGTCGGGGAGAATCCCGCCTCGCGCCCACCTTCGGGATCGGGCGGATCGGGCAGTGTCTCCTGGGTCGAGGAGGCCAAGGTTTGGGAGGCATCTATCCGACAAGCGTTGAAACCCATCATCTTCCAGGACACTCTGGACCCCCAGGAGCAGACCCCTCACCGTAAGAGCCATTTGCTGGAGCTCCTCCCCCTCCCTGTTCGCCACCAAGTCCTGCAGCTCTCCCTCTGCTTTCCTGGCTACCTCTACTCCAGAGGTCACTGTCGACACAGCAGAGCATTAGGGGCATTAGAGGAGGCCATTTGGCCCACTGTACTATTTCCCACCCGCTCTCCAGCCGGTGATCTTGAATCTGTGAGGGCAGAGTGACCCGTGGGGTCACTAACTTGCTCTGATCTCCCTGTCCCTTTGTTTTTTTTTTGAGTTTCCCGACTTGAAAGGAAATATTCTACTTGCCTCTCCCCATTTGATTTTAGTTGGTTGGAAGCTCAAAATAGAGAGCACCTCGCCCATACCTCCCCTCCACCACCCCCCATCCCCTCGCCCCTACCCCCCCCCCCCCCCCGATACCCCCCCTCGCCCATATCTCTCCCCCTCCCCCCCACCTTGCCCATATCGCTCCCCTCGCCGCTGCCTCCCCGTGCCAAAGGACGTGGGGCTGGGGGGGATGGTGTTTGCAAGCAGATATTTGCGGTCATCCTTTTTGATTCTCTTGACTTTTGTCAGATATTCTATCTGTATGCCTGCTAGGTGGCAGGACTGAGCCTGTTATAAGAACTGGGAGCAGGAGTGGGCCAATCACCCTGCTCACGCAGAGCGGTACAGCATAGAAACAGACCTCTCAGTCCAGCCCATCCACGCTGGCCAGATTCCCCAACACTAAACTAGTCCCACTTGTCTACATTTGGTCCACATCCCTCTAAACCTTTTCCATTCACGTACCTGTCCAAATGTTTTAACTGTCCCTCTTCCGACCACTTCCTCTGGCAGTTCGTTCCACACACAAACCACCCTGGTGTAGTGAAGAAGAGATAACAAGGTGTAGAGCTGGATGAACACAGCGGGCCAAGCAGCATCAGAGGAGCAGGAAGGTTGATGATTCGGGTCTGGACCCTTCTTCAGAAACGGGTCCAGCTTTCCTGCTCCTCTGATGCTGCGTGGCCTGCTGTGTTCATCCAGCTCCACACTGTGTTATCTCAGATTCTCCAGCATCGGCAGTTCTTACTGTCCCTGTGTGAAGACGTTTCCCATCTGGTCCCTTTTTAAATCTTTCTCCTCTCGACTTGCCTTCTGCCCTGTAGTTTTGAACCACCCCCCCTCACCCAGGGGGGGAAAGACCTTTGATATTCACCTTATCTATACCCCTCATGATTTTATAAACCTCTACAAGGTCACCCCTCAACCTCCAATGCTCAAGATTCACAGTTAAGTGAGATACTTTATAAATAAGAGATAACAAGGTGTAGAGCTGGATGAACACAGCAGGCCAAGAAGCATCAGAGGAGCAAAGGGTCTAGGCCCGAAACGTCAGCCTTCCTGCGTCTCTGATGCTGCTTGGCCTGCTGTGTACGTCCAGCTCTACACCTTGTTATCTCAGATTCTCCAGCATCTGCAGTTCCTACTATCTCTGATAGTTTATAAATAACACTGCATGACTTTATTTCTTTGGCCTAAAAATGGACTAACCCCATTTCAATGCCCCTGTGGATCGAAGAAAAATCAGTGACCTTTAAAATTAAAGCAGAAGTTACAAAGTCAATACATATTGGTACCAGCTACATGCTTACCCAGGACAGCTGCACCGCAGATTTTAACAACTGTCTATGTGGCTCCCAGTGACTTGGCTCAGTACAGCCGGCCCGTCTCCCCATGGCCCCCACTCTGGAAAGAGACGATGGGTTATCTGCTGCCTCCCAGTAAATCACATCAGTGGCCATTCCTGATGGATGAATAGAGAGCTACTGGTGGACTATTCGACACCAGAGGGAATCACAACCTTCCGCCCAGGCCTGTACACTGTCTGCTGCCAAATCGGTGACTCAGGGACAAGGTGCCCATTCACCCTCAAGCGTGGGAGGGCTGTGTTGGTCCGAAAGTAACTCTGACCACCTATTCCCCCCACCCCCTCCCCAACTCCCCCGCTGCCCCCAGATGGTAAGGCTGTGCCCGTGAGAGCTCAGGCCGGCCACACTGTCCCCGTGGCCAGTTTCAATGACTGTGTTATTGATCTTTATCTTTTATTGTTTCACTTTGCAGGACAAGCATCAGTCAATTTTTCTGTACCCAACAGTCAAAGCCTGGAGAATGTGGTGAGTATCGTCAGCGCTCATCAATGTCACGAGGAGGTGGGCAGACGACAGGGCACCACTGGCAGAGGGGTGGCAGTGCCTCAGTCACAGGAGATCCAGTTTAATGTAGAAAAATGGGTCAGTGTAGAGGGGGCTTTACTCTGTATCTAACCCCATATGGTACCTGTCTTAGCACTGTGTAATGGGGACAGTCGAAGGAGCTTCACTTTGTTTTCAGTTTAAAAGAATAGAGGGAGCTTTATTCCATATCTAACACCGCGCTGTCCCCATCCTGGGAGTGTTTGATGGGGGGGACAGTGTAGAGGGAGCTTTACTCTGTATCTAACCTCGTGCTGTCCCTGTCCTGGGAGTGTTTGATGGGGGCACAGTGTAGAAGGAGCTTTACTCTGTATCTAACCCCGTGCTGTCCCTGTCCCTGGGAGTATTTGATGGCGGGGGGACAGTGTAGAGAGAGCTTTACTGTGTATCTAACCCTGTGCTGTAATTGGATTGGAGTAGTGTAAGGTGATCTTTCTCCTGCAGTGAGACTTTTGTAGACAATCTCTCGGACGTATTTGCATTCAGAATGGCGTCCCTCTCACTCTCGTTTCCTCCCCCTAGGATATAGCGACCGTCTACCAGATCTTTGCAGATGAGGTGCTTGGATCAGGACAGTTTGGTATTGTTTATGGAGGTGAGAATATCTGTTTAGACACTGCCTGCGGGCTGGCATTAATGTGACACAATCTGCGGTCCTGTTGCTTACTCACCTATTGGCACAGGACAAAGCATCCAACATCTCTCGGCTAAGTTCCCTTGCTCAATTGAGTGAGGCAGTAGTGTCACTGCACTGGTAATCCACCGTCCGAGTGAATGCCGCAATGTCCCATCTGGTTCTCTCGTGCCCTCTTTAAATCTGCCATCCTTACCCGGCCTGGCCTACACATGACTCCAGACCCATGGCAATGCGTCAACTCTTAGTGATGGGCAACAAATACCCGCCTTGCTGTTGATGCCACATCTCACAGATAGTTGTCAAATCACATTCCGAGTTTGATCCCATACGTGCACGTTTGCTAACGGGGTAGGAGGTGGGAAGGTGAGATGTCAACTCCAGCCTTTGGTACTCCCAGAGCTCCTCATGAAGATTGCTGATGGCTTGCAAAGATAGAAAATGAAGAAATTTGGACCAACTTTTTAACAGGATCTGTCGCTTTTCTTTGTGTGTGTGTGTGTGTGTGTGTGTGTGTAGGGCACTGGGCTTATAGTGTCATACAGCACTCAAACAGGCCCTTCGGCCTAACGCAACCCTACCGACCAGGTTTCCGAGACTGAACTGAACCCCTTGTTCTGCGTTTGGCCCATGTGCCTCTCAACCTTTCCTTATCCACGTGCCTGTCTTTTAAAATGTTGTAATTGTACCAGCCTCCACCACTTCCTCTGGCGTGCTAGAGAATACTTGTTGACAGAAACATTGCATTCTGGGCCTGTTTTTTTTTAGCCTGCCCTGTTCCCAGGTGGTGGAAGCAGATTATGATGAGCTTTGGAAAGGCATTGGATGAATATTTGGACAGGAAAAGGTCTAGAATCGGTGCCACTCGGCTTGGCTCCGTTTCAAAGAGATAGCATGGGTGCAGTGGGCTGATTGGCCTCTTCCCCCTGTGGTTCAAACGCATGGACTGTCTCCCCTGCTGTTTTGTTTCCAGGCAAGCACAGAGAGACCGGGCGAGATGTGGCTATCAAAGTGATCGACAAATTACGGTTCCCAACCAAACAGGAGAGCCAACTACGTAACGAGGTGGCCATCCTACAGGTGAGCTCGGGGCTGGGGTTGGGCCAGGAAGGAGTCACCTATACGGCGGATTGTTCCCTCCCCCCCTCCACCCTGAACTGGGAGTGCCTGTTTCTGCCTCTCAAGTCCAGCGTTCGGTTACAGAGGGTTGACTCCCAGAGTTCAGCTCCACCCTCACGATGGACCCCGAAGTTGCTGGACACTGCTGAAAGGTTGACGCCTGTTTCTGCCCATCCATTCCTGCATTGCCCCGTTGAATGCCATCTCTGCCGCAAGTTGGCAAGCAGCCCCTTTTTTTTTTTTTTTCGATCGCTGGTCTCCTCCTCCCTCATTCAACCTGCCTCTGTCCACAGGGCCTGTCTCACCCCGGAGTGGTCAACCTGGAATGCATGTTCGAGACCCCCGAGAAGGTGTTCGTCGTCATGGAGAAACTCCACAGTGACATGTTGGAAATGATCCTGTCCAGCGAGAGAGGCCGGCTGCCAGAACGGATCACCAAGTTCATGATCACACAGGTAACCGACTGGCTCCCTTATCTGCTGGGATGTTTCGGGTCGTGGAGTCATGCAGCGTGCAAACAGGCCATTCAGTCCATCATACCTATTCTAACTGACAATCGCCAAATGGCACTAATTCCATTTACTTGTGCTTGGGACGGCACGGTGGCTCAGCGGTTAGCACTGCAGCCTTACAGCGCCAGGGACCCGGGTTCGAATCCACCCTCAGGTGACTGTCTGTGTGGAGTTTGCACATTCTCCCCGTGTCTGCGTGGGTTTCCTTCCACAGTCCGAAGATGTGCAGGTTAGAGATGGATTGGCTGTGCTAAATTATCCCATAGTGTCCGGGGATGTGCAGATTAGGTGGACTAGCTGTGGGGAAATGCAGGGTTGGGGTATTCGGATGCTGATTGCACGGTTGGTGTATACTCAATGGGCTGAATAGCCTCTTTCTGCAATGTAGGGATTCTATCTTTTTTGAGTCAGAGAGTTCTACAGCACAGAAAATGGCCTTCAGCCCATCGAGCCTGCTCTAGTCAAAAATAACCACCTAACTTTTTGAGCCCCACTTTCCAGCCCTTGGCCCATAGCCTTGGCACCACAAGTGCACACCTAAACATTTCTTAAATGTTGTGAGGGTTTCTAAAAGTTTTATTTCCACACATCTGCTGTAAACCTCGTGCCCCTTACCTTAAATCTGTGCCCTGATCCCCGGTCAGGATTAAATGTTTTCTCACTGCCCCTCATAATTACACTCTTCTCAGTCGTGTCTCCTCTGTTCCTGTCCCTTTTTTTGTTTTTCGCCTGTTCGAGCATTTCAAGGATTTGTACTTGTTTTAAAAAGAACCCATTGGGCCCCCAAATTAAATTTTGCTGCAGTATTGCTTTATCTCAGCAGGTGGTGTTGCTGAGACCTGCGGCTGCACATTGCCACCAGGAGACGTTTGGTTTTATTGCAACAGTTTGATTTAATTTACAACAACTTTGGATTTTGGTGGCGTCGCTTGAGTATTCACACAGAGAAGGGGGAAACTTGGATTGTTTTTGCTCAAATGTCGGAGGCAAAGGGATGACCTGATAGAAGCGCAGGGCAGCACGGTGGCTCAGTGGTTAGCACCGCTGCCTCACGGCACCAGGGACCCGGGTTCGATCCCACCCTCGGTGACTGTCTGTGTGGAGTTTGCACATTCTCCCCATGTCTGCGTGGGTTTCCTCTGGGTGCTCTGGTTTCCTCCCACAGTCCAAAGATGTGCAGATTAGGGTGGATTGGCGGTGCTAAATTACCCCCATAGTGTTCAGGGATGTCTAGATTAGGTGGGTTACAGGGGTATGGGTCTGGGTGGGATGTTCCGAGGGCCATTGTGGGCTTGTTGGGCCGAAGGGCCTGTTCCAAAACTGCAGGGATTCTATGGAAATTATGAGAATCATGGATAGTTAGAGACTTTTCCCACGGTGGAAATGTCAAATACTAGGGGGCACAGGTTTAAGGTGAGAGGGCGGGAAAGTTTAAAGGAGATGTATGAGGCAAGTTTTTGTTTTAATCTGAAGGTGGTAGGTGCCCAGAACATTTGGCCCAGCTGGTCTGTGCCTGTGTTTAGGCTTCACAATAGTCATCAACACAAAGTTTAGGGAACATCTGAGCAACAAGAGCGAGCACGCTAGAGGGATTGATTGATTGATTGATTTAGGAAGGGAGTTCTGGAACGAAACCAGGAAACTGGAAACACCTGCACTATCAGTGAAACGAGAAGCTGCAAACAAAAAGTCTCTGAAAGAGTGGAAAGTTGGAACATTGAACAGTACAGCACGAGAACGGTGCTTTGGCAGGCCATGTTTGTGCCAACCATAATGCCATTCTAAACTAATCCTATCTGGCTGTGCATGATCCATGTCCATCTATTCCCTGCTCTCTTTAAATGCCTCTTAAACATTGCTATTGTATCTGCTTTGACCACCTCCCCTGGCAGCATGTTCCAGGCATTTATCGCCTTCAGAGTAAAGAAAAACTTGCCTCATACATCTCCTTTAAAACTGCCCCGTCCCACCACACCACTGCCACACCCCCACCATAAACCTGTGGCCCTTAGTATTTGACATTTCCACCGTGGGAAATCCACCCTATCCATGCCTGTCATAATTTTATGTACTTCTATCAGGTGACCCTTCAGCCTCCGACATTCTAGCAAAAACAACCCCAAGTTTGTGGCCTAACAGAAGTCTACACCTCTCCTCACCCAGCCTCCTACAAGAATGCGATCCCCTACTCCCAATTCCTCCGCCTCCACCACATCCGCTCCCAAGATGGGGCATTCCACTCCCGAACATCCCAGATGTCCTCTTATTTCAAGGTCCATAACTTGCTCCCTCTGGTGATCAAAAATGCCCTCAACCGCATTTCTTGCACCTCTGCCCTCACATCCCCTCCCCGCAACAAAAACAAAGACAGATTCCCCTGGTGCTCATGTATCACCCACTAACCTCTGTATCCAACCATCCGCCACTTCCGCCACCTGCAATCTGAGCCCACAACCAAAGATCTATTTCCTTCCCCACCTCTATCTGCCTTTCGTAGGGACCACTCTCTCCACGACTCCCTCATCCACTCCATACACCCCACTAACCCCACCACCCCCAGCACCTTTCCCTGCAACCGCAGGAAGTGCTAAACCTGCCCCTACACCTCTCCCCTCACCTCCATTCAAAGAACCAAAAAAACCTTCCATATCAGACAGAGGTTCACTTGCACATCCGCTAATGTGGTCTACTGCATCCGCTGCTCCCGATGTGGCCTCCTCTGTATTGGTGAGACAAAGTGGAGACTCGGAGACCGCTTTGTAGAGCACCTGCGCTCTGTTCGCGATAAACGACAACACCTTCTGGTCGCGAACCATTTTAACTCCCGCTCCCTCTTCCACTCCCTGGGCGACATGTCCATCCGGGGCCTCCTCCAGTGTCACAATGACACCACCCGGAAACTGGAAGAGCAGCACCTCATATTCCGCCTTGGGAGCCAATAGCCCAACGGCCTAAACATGGAATTCACCAGT